ATACATAAGCATCTCAGCTTTACTAAATATTAAAATATATAATTTATCATAATATCAAATAGAAAAGAATGTGCTGAATATTTTTTTTCTAAATTCTCAAAATTACGAATACACACATAAAAATTTGCAAATTAATTTTCACCATTCCAAATACACGAGTCAAAATACAAAATTATAAGGGCTGCTTTGAAGAAAAATAAAGTTCATAACAGGCATACATGGCATGATGTTTGACAATTTTAAAGTAATTGAGTTTTGGAAGTTAATCAGCAAACATAAAAAATCTTTGTTAATTCCATTATTTTAAGATCATCTCAAGGTTAAATTAACCCTTATAGATTGATTTATTTGGAATACCAATGAGGATTTAAAGTAAAACATAAGGAATTTTCTATTGCCAATAGTAGCTGAGCTTTCTGAACTGAATCTTTCAATCTGTATGTCCTCCATAATGTCTTTAGAACAAAGATGCTGCAAAATCTACTATTTAAAGCAGAAAGATGCAGAAAAAAGAGTTCTTGCTGTCTCATCTCCTTCTTCCTGAGAAGTTCCTGTGAGCTTATTCTTCAAAAAGAATAAACATAAGGACCAAAACAGACCTTCTTTATGTGGGGGAATACAGAGAGGGAAGGAATGGCTACAGGTTTCCCATTTAACACTACCATCACAAAGACACAGGTTACAAAGATGGGAGATAGTACTGCAGGAGTCCCTAAACCTGTGTGTGTGCATTGCTACCGTGAAGGATTTACTCTATGATTCTGCAGTCATCATTAGACATTGCAGTTAATTGCTACATCTTTGCTGATTGCCCTGGTGCTACTGACCTGCTTTCTCCAAATCCTCAAGCTTTCAAGTTTTCACTCCTGTAGAAGTGCCTATATTTATAGCTTAATGACTAAGAGCAGTTTGCAAACTTCTCTATTCCTGTAAAATCTCATCTTCTTAATTTAATTTCTAAAATATTAAATTATCTTGCATCTTTGAGCTAAATTACATTCTCTACATGAAATATTCAACCTCTGTGCTCTCTAGTTGGCTTCACATTTACAACTTTTTTTTTTTTTTTTTTTTTTTTTTTTTTGACTTTTGAAACATTTGAATAGGAAGTCCTTTCTGATTACACCAGACTTCTGAAATAATATTCTCTGTGCATACTTTCATAAAAACATTGAAAATTCTCTCACAGTCCTTCAGCTATTTCACATCTTTGTACAGGCTTAAATTCTGGAATTAAATGTGAATTTCTCCATCCAAACTTACGAATGTATTGAGTCACCACCCCACAAGGGCATTTAAATTTCTCACTGGCACCATACTCCAATTACCTCTTAAAGAAGAGCTTAGTTTTTGGAATGTGTTGAACAAATGAATAAGTATAATTTTAGAAAGAATGCTTCCCTTATTATCCTACATAACAGAGAAATAAGAGAGAGAAAAATTCAAACTGAGAATATTCAGATCCTGAGTCATCTCACCAGTGAGTTGATTGTTCACTCTTCTACTTGTTAACTCAGATAACTGTATTGCATTTAAAATACTTGCTAAAAGATTAAACCATCTAAAAAGTTAGAGTGACTCTATTACAGTGAGTTCATTTAATATTGCTTTTGAAACATTTTACAGCAGTGTAATGATAGACCTTAATTTATTCCAATTATCTTTTGTTCACTTCAATTTATGAACAGTGAAGCTGAAATAATCAGCACTTTTGCTCCTTAGGCTTCTAATAATATATTTTCATGAGTATTGTACAAGTCATCTTTTTACAGCCATCCCACATACTAATTGCAAATGTCTATTTTTATGGTAAGAAATGGGTGTTAGCAGACAACTAGGGACAAGATCATTGGTTGCATTGAAATGCTTTGGCACAAAGAGTACTTCACTGATTAAAATTTTGTTCTCAGTAAACTAATAAGGCAAAACAGGAAAAAAAATAAAATATGTATTCTCAATTTCTAAACACTGCATCGACAGCAGGAATAAGATTTGCATATATATTTCCCAGAAAAGATCTTGGGACTTGTATCACCTACTGCAGATTAACAGACTCTGCTCTGTCCACTTTTGTAGCCACAATATCTGACTACTTTTCAACACAACTGAGTGGGGAGTTGGGAATTTTTTCAAGCAGTCTGTGTTTGAAAATATGGACATAAAAAATACCAAGCTTTATATTCACTCATTCTTGTGGTGTAATTTATCATAAACTGGCTGTGAGTTCACATGTCAGAGGCAAAACGAAGCAGATGAAGACAGTAGGACAGGTCGTAATAGTCTATGTTTACATAAGCAAACATAATGAAATTACAAATGTAAATTAGAAATTTAAATGCAAATTATAAATTTGAATATAAATTTCTCCCCTTTGAAATCTTCAGACTTCCAACAGCCAGTCTAAACAAACTCCTTTCTGTGTTCTTCTTTTTATTATTCATTACTGGTTTGTACCATAGCCTCCTTCACTGATTTACCAAGATTTTTGCTTCACTATTAGTGGCTGGAATAAGAAATTCAAGAAAAGCTTTGGGAAACGGTCTGTAAGCAAAGTTTGCACTTTATTAGTTTTGTGATAAAGAGAAGGATTTCCATGCCCCTCATCAATACTACAGAGCACCCTTTAAGAGTCAACACATGAACTGCTCCTGGTCAAAAAAATATATGTATTTAATCTAGAATTAAGTCATCTATATTTTTAAAGCCATGCCATGGGGTGCCAAGCTATTCTACTTATATAATATAATAAACAGCAATTTGCTATCTGTAAACATCAGTAGGTTAGTCTACACATTATTAGAGAGGTTAATGGCAATTTTGTTGGTTTTACTAAAACTAGTATTACGTGTTGTTTGTTTTATATATCAACAGTTATTTATTGCAAAAAGATTATAGCCAAAAACTGGCTTGATTTCTAATGGTATTTGCTAAAACTATTTAGCCCTTATCTCAGCAGTGAAAGGAAAGTTTGATTGGATCTTAAAACAAAGGAGACATTGCTCATACTATCACTCCTCCCCTCAGCTAAGAGGATACAGAACCTGTCACCATGGCCCTTCAGCTAAAGGTAGCTGTGACTCACCACACAGAGATGAAAGCAACTAATTGACCTACTTAGACAGAACACCAATTGCCAAAATGATTTCTTCACTGTCTTTGGACTAGGCCTATTTTTCCTAAATAATGTTTACCCCTACTGATTTCTGTCGTAATTACATGAAAATTAATGTGTCCAAATATCAGTTTTGTTTTACTGATCCTTTTATACTGCATATCACTGTGTATATATCAAGAATAGTTAGGATAGAATACATAGAATAGAATATTACTATTATGATAGAACATGTATCTCATAAACTCATTTGCCTGTACCATATAGAATTGTACAATTAAACAAAACAATCATTTTTAATAATTCAAGACCATTTTTTCCCTTGCTGTCATGTCTTTGACTCTCAAAGACTTGCATACATTAATATAACTTTAATTAAATTCATTTAACATTATGTAAAAGTGTCCAACAGGATCCCTCAGCTTAAAAGTTGTCGAAGGAGACACTGGAATGATTTTCACTGTAGATGACTACTTGCCTCAACTGTCAATGCAAATCTCAAATGTCAGTGGTGATGGGTAAAGAATCTGCAAGGAGCTACGCAAGTAGGAATCACCAGCTGTATGTTCCTTTCATGACAGAACTCCACAACTTTGTCTTCCCCAGGGCAATGAAACAATAATAAACATCAAATTTAAATAGTAAGAAGGCTAGTCAACCCAGCACTTGGTAATTCATGAAGCAGTAGGTTGCGTTCCCTCAAATCATGCTGCTACAAATATAGCAGGGTGGGTTTTCTATGGTTAAGAGTAGGGGCTGCAGATTAGTTCAAGGGCACAATACGAATTTATCTATTCAGTTAAAGCAATGTGGCAATAATGGCACTTGAAGTCACTCTCTATTCAGCCATATAAATTTACACATTCCTTTCTGAATTGCACATGGCTGATTGCTAATTCCTTGTTAGCTAAGTTCTGTAGAAGATTAAAAATATTCTTTTTCATCAGTAACCTCTTTAGGAGAAACAGAATGTATTTTTTGGATACATAAAAATAGATCAATTACAGATAAATATTCCTAGATTCTGGAACCAGATGTAGAATCACCTTAAATTTGAGGTTTTTGCTTTTAAAGGACTACTAGTCACTGAAATAACTAAGTGTATCTTTACAGTTGGAGACACACATTTACATGTGACTTGAGATTTTAGTTAAATGTGCATGTTGTTTTCTTATAACTGTAGAAAAAGTGAGATCATCCTAATAAGTATTTCTATAGAAAGTCGAACTTGAAAGGGTGGAATAAGCAAATGTTAATTATATGAAGAGGCCTTTCAAACTGCAATAGGTCTGTGCCACATTGCAAAGAACCTAAGAGTCCAAAGCATACAGAGTGCTAATGAATATCAAGGCAAGATTCAGATGTACAGATGGCAGAATTTTTCTATTCTAACCAGTAGAAATGTTACAGAAAATATATAAAATGAAAATGAAATTATCAAAAGAATAAATTGAATACAAGATGCATTTAACACAATATAGCAAAAGCAAACACTTTCAGAAGTAGAAGACATTGGTATCATTTCCAAAATAAGATCTATGCTCCTAACTTAGAGAACTATCTGAACATTATGATTATTAATTCCTCAAGTACACCTCAGATGGTATTACATCTCAACTTTAGTATGTAGAGCAAGGGACTTAAGAACTTTCAGTAAGATAAGGAAAAAAAAAAAGCAACAAACAAAAACCAACCAATAGATTACATGAATAAATGTGTTTATTCGTGTAATTTAAAGAGCTTTCATTTAGCCTATTAGTATTGTATATGAAAAAGGGTCTTCCAAAGCAATGCTGAAGGTGCATGGTCTAATATTTTCAAGATTGGTTTTTTTGGAGACAGCGTTACAGTTCAATTCAAAGTTAAATAAAACTCAGCCAAAACTTACCTTATATGAGTAATGATGAGGGTTGTAGCAGGAATGAAAAAGTCATCCACTCTGTCAAACTGCTTTCCCACTGGCTGAGTATGGATTGTGTGATGAGAAACACTCCCACTGGCTTGTGTTATCACCTACATAAAGTAACATTATTACAAACTATAGAAATATTCCTTCAAAGTTTAATCTATATCTAAATAGATTTGTAGAGTATTGCCTCTTTATTCCACTTCTGTTTTATTCTTCAGCCATGAGAAGGAATGCAAATGACAGTGAATAAAAATGATCAGCATTACAGATTTCAGAGAATTGTTGCATGCTAGACAATCTATTCTTCACGTGTACTTTTTTTCCTCTTTTTTTTTTTTTTCCTACCACATTTACATTCTATAGCAGCCTTTAGTGCACACCAAGATTTTTGTCTTTTTTCATGCTCAACACTAGAGTGGGAATGTCTCTTAAGCACTTCAGCCCAAGTGAAAAGATAAAATGTTATCAGCTGATCCACAGGAAGCTATGGCTACATATGATCCTAAGTCTTCTCAAGCATAAAGAGATCCAACATAGCATATATTGAATATATTGAATTGGTTGCTGTTTATGCATACCTTTAGTTGTTACAAATAAATTTTCTTTGAATTCTCAAATCTTGAATGTCATCTGAGGTAGAATATTATGGGTGAGTAAAAGACAATTTTATATTAATAGCTGCTATGATGTTCATTTTTGCGCATTTAAGACTGGATTTTTTTTAAAAAAAAGGAGTTGATCATGCATCATTCAAGGAAAAACAAGACTGAAAATGAATGCTTCCTCTAAAACAGGATATATCTGATTCAATTAGTCATTTTTTTGGGGAGGAGTGACAACCAAACTCCCACAAATTACTTTACTCACTTACAGTTACCAGGAGTATAAAAAATCATTTTCAAACACTACTCATTTTTCTGTTTGAGCTCTATGGTTGATTTTTTTTTCTTATTCCTTATGCGTTTAAAAGACAAATATGGACTTCACTGACTTCTAAAGAAAAGGAAAATAAGTTGAAATAAAAAGTAATTTTGAAATTATAACACAAAGAGTAACACTGTATTCTCTTGCGATTACTTTAAATTAGAAGAAAGAAGAGGAAAAGCAGAAGAGAAGCACAGCTTCTTGAAATGTTTCTTTGGTGACTGTCCCTAGGCGTGCTGCTGCTGAGAAAGCATGGGAAAAATAAGGATTCTTATTATTTTATATCTTAAAAAAAAAGTCCCAAACTCAAAGGAATTAACAATAAATAATGTTGGAACTCTTCGCTTGTCAACTCCAGAACATCAACATAATCTTAGTGAAATAGGAATATATGCCTAAAATCCATGGTATCCTCTGATTAGGAGCAAAATCATCACAAGCAGCATATCTGTTCTCAGAAGACTGGCAGACTAGAAAAACATGCCATTAGTTTTCAGCTGTAATCTATTACCCTCCATCGAATCAGCATTTACATTTCTAAGTAAAAGTGTAGAAAATCTCTTCAGACTTTCCCAGCAAGTTCAGTTCTTTCCGGTTTCCTGAAAACATTTTCCTACCTACATAAATATTCAATTTATTTAGATTTCCTAGTATATAACCAATCTGATCAATATACTCACTTGCAAAGTTGGTGAATTCTTCTCCATGTTTCCCCAGCTCTGCACCCAGACTTGATCATGTGACTTATCATAGTGTAGTTTCACTGGAACAGGATCCGTACTTACTGCCTGCGAGTAGATAAAATGAAAACTCCTTACTCTTGATCACACGTTGAAAAGAAAAATAATAGATGACTATGACTAGACATGCCTATCCTGATGTGTTCAGAATATATTTAAAAATTACATTGTCAGATGCTGAAAAAGACCTCTGATTAATTCAAAGTCACTAAATTGCTGAGGCAGTGATTTTTATTCATTATTTTTATTCATTATATTTATGTTTTTTATTTTTTTTCTAATATTTTTTCTAATAATTCTAAAAAATATATTTTTCTTCATTATGTGTATTCATTATGTTTATGTTATTCATTTATTCATCATTTTATTCATTATAAAATTTGGCATCAAAAACATGTTATATTGGGGCTATCAGGAAACTGAAAAAAAAAAAGTTTTAAATCCAAACAAAAAATGCTAACCTTCCTTCCCTACATTTTCTCATATCATACATATCAATTTAAAATCTAAAAAATACTGGAAAACAACTAAAAAGGGAAGAATATTCTCAAGCCCCATACTAAAGTCAATGCAAGATATTCCTACGCAGCCCTGCCCAAACAATGTTATTGCACTCTTTTCAACTGGATATATTTTCTTCAAGTTGGCAATATTATTAAGTACATAAATGTTTTCCTTACAATTTCTACTTTTGGAAGAAGTGATCAGTGCCAAGCTGTTTTCCCTCCTTGAGTTTTGTATCCAAAGACTACAGACTTTTTAGGCATTTAAGGTTTACGCTTTCTTTATTAGGAGAAGCACTGAAGATTCCAGAGATATGAAAAGTGAGGACAGAATATTTCAATAAGAGATATTCTCCATGAGGCAAACAACTGTAGGGATTACTGTTCTATCTTCATCATTAAGGCAGCAAAAATAAGTGGAAATTGCTTTTTAGTCTCACCATTATGGAGCTGTAAAGCACAGCTTGTTTATCAGTTTGTCAAGGAGAATACCAGCTGGCTAATTAAGTGAAGGTAATTTAAAGTAATGATGTAGATCCTCAAGATAATGCTCTAATGGCTGGCTGAGGCTGTTGATGATACTTAACTGTACTCCTGAGGTGTTGCAAGCCACAGATTCATCTGGAAAAAAAAAACAACCAAACAAACCCTACCATTTTTTACCTTTACCTTTTGAAAGTGGTAATGAAGCCAGGTTGCTCACTGGCTCATTTAAAAACAAAGATGCCCCTTGAAAAGGCCATTTTTGTTTGGTAACACTTTCTGCTTCAAGTTAGAAGACAAGTTGTCTAAAACAATACTTGGGCCACTGTCTAGTTAATTTGCTGAGGTGTATCAAATTTCCATTTAGCTTCCTCAAATGAAGGTCTGACCCATGCATCGTTGCTGAATGAGCATAAGTTGTGTTCAGGAATTAGGCCATGGTACTGCCTGAAGGAGAAGAAATGCCTGTGTAGTCAAGCATGGACAATGCAACTCCTAAAAACCTGCTGGCAGCAGAAAGATTCTTGGAGTTTTGGAGACATGTTTTCACAGCTGTTCTGGGCTACCCAGGCTAAACTGCCACCAGCACACTGTACTAAACAGTGATGAGCTCTGGTTACATCAGCACGCCTTGAAATCATCCCACTTAATTTCCTACTGCACAATCAGAGGTTCCTCGGTTTCAAGAATTTACAAATGAAAGAAAAGTATCTGGCTAAATCAGAAAATCTATGCACCATTCATATTCACAGTTTGGAAACATTTATTTCAATGTAAAATATCTGCTCTAGGATCTTCTTCAAGTGCTCATTTTGATAGCTATATTTATATATCAGAGAAACAATGAACCCTAAAATCTTGGTGTTATACATATGCACCTGATACACACCTCTTTTACATTAACTTTTATAGTAAAAATGAATAAATGTAACATATGCACTCATAATAGTACTTCAGACAAGCAACCACAGTAATCAAAATCAAATCAACATCAATTTTATAAAGAAAAGAACACAGTTCCACAACTTGCAGCCTTTTCAATTACGCTTTTAGCTGTCTTTGGGGTTGTTTTATTTTGCACCTTAATGGAATTGTTATCATTGCATCCTGCTCAGATCCAAAATACAAATTTTTCCCCATGTTTGCTCTTAACATATTTTTGAAAGTGTGTTGTTGCACAGAAAAGCAATTTCTTCTTTAAGAGATACAGTAGAAAAAAATATAGTGTATAGTATCCTCTATGCTAATATATCATATATTTAAAAAAGAAAAAAAAAATGGGAGTCCAGTAACTAAAATTCTCTTATTTATAATTAGCTTAGTGTCTATTTTCCAAAACTAATTTGTATTTTGATGTGGGTTTTTTTTGTTGTTGTTGTTTTTTTTTCAATACGGGACAGCACTGTATATTATCAAAATAGCCTGTTCTGACTGAGAAGTTAAATTCCCTTCTTTGCTTCTCTAGCCTTAGTGTATATGCATATGCCATGAGTACAGCATCACTTAATACCAAGGAAAATTCTTGCTGCCTACAGAAAACAAAACCAAAATTGAACATTTAATATTAAAGTAAAAGGAAGACAGGGCCATGCCTGCTATATAATAAAAAATGGTGAGCAAAGCATTACTTGACTGACTTGTCAGCAGATTCCAAATTTGCTTCCTTTGATTCTGAAAGCAAACTGTGAATCAGCAGTTTTATTTTTTATGCTCTTATTCTATGTATAAAAGAATGTACAGGTTTTGTGTTTTTATGATTGATTCATTTTATTGCAACAAACATTTTTTTTTTAAATAAGTTGATTCTAAATATCAGCGAGGTTAAGCATAGCACCATTCAAGTCCCACAATACATTTCCCACATCTTTCAGAAAATACACCCTTGGAAATTATTTTCAGTTCAGTAATGAATAGCAGAAATTTTGCTCTGCTGCATATTAAGCATTTTTAACATGTAAAACAACAAGAGAATTTCTCATTAATATCTGAGTATCCTAGAACCATAAAAAGTGAGAATTCCATTTCTATAAAAGGTTCCACAAATGGTACAAACATTCTGTGGATGCCTGGACATTATAAAAGTAGTTTTAAAGCAATGCTATCCCATCTTTTGAAATCAAATTTCTTTTATTTTTGAAAGTGTGAAAGTGGAAAGTAATATAGTTTGGTGGGTTTTGGGATTTTATTTTCCCAATATAATCATGAAGGCTACTGAATGAAATGACAGGAAGTATGAACATTGATGTTTGAAGTACAAAATTATAAACATTAAATTTATTTTTATCACATGAATTCAATTTTAAAATCACACTTTGCTGCAAATTCTTTTAAAATTTTACACTACAATATTATACATATATATGTATATATGTATATTTATGTATATATACGTATATATACATAATCTTTAAAGATTTTCATTCATTTATTTACAAAGAAGGCAAGAGACATGAAGAAAATCTCTAAGTATTTTTATTAACAATTTAGATTAGAATTCTAATACAAATCCCTGTTATATTTAGCTAAAGAACATCTGTTTCTTATGAATGTCATAATACTGCAAGTAGTTCTGTAGATGTGATTATTTGTAATCATTTATATGACTAGAATTTGAATCAGAAGACTTAACACGGTGCCAAAAGTTCTGTGTCAGAAAACCTCATGCAAATGTTCTTGTTTTCAGAGAACAAGTTATTAACTAGCTTCAGACTCCCTTGCACAGGAAATAACTTTAATTAAGAAAAAGCAGAGTCCTCTTACTTAAGCACATTTGAAGAAGTTTTATATGAACTGCACTGTACTAAAAAGAAACAAAATAAAAAACAAATGAAACAAAAAATTAACATGCCCCAAAAGACTGTTGACAGCCCTGAGCTGAAAGCCTATTTGTTTTATTTTATTATTTTATTTTACTTTATTTTTTGCCACTGAAAGTGAAAGACTACTAATTCTTCAGGCAGATGCCATTTGATTAGAAAAACTAAAGACTATATAGTGAAATAGTCTACTGTATGTAGAGAAAAAATAGAGTAACATGGTAAGAACCGTAGGCAGAAAATAAATAGCAAAAACAGTTTGATTTTACCTCAAAACACAAATATTTTGAGTTTTAAATAATCTCTTCACATTCAGGAAATCTTTTAAAATGTACTGGATTTATGGCTATTACTTGCTAGAGGCATTCTTACACATCTTTGGCAATTCAGTATAAATCTGGTTTAACCTCATAGTACAACGATATCACCAATAATGCATTGATGCTATAAAAAAAATGCACAACACATTAAAGAATTTAAGTAAGTGAGAAGGCAAAAGCACAGTGGTCATAGTTGATTTCTATAGTGTCAACTAAACATCAGTTCTCTTTCAACTCAATGGGATTACTGATGCTCAGGCTCTGAAGCAATCAAACTTCTTTAAAATCTACCAAGATATTGGCATTGCTTCTCCAAAATGTAATGAAGAAACTCGTATATAAATTAGACATTAACTTAAAAACTACGAATAAATACCTGTACAACTTTCTGAGACTGTACATCAACAATAAGCACTCTGTCAAGTGTAGGTTGAGTCACATAAATGAACTTGTCTTTTACATTTACAGCAGTTGCCCAAACACACCGCTGAACAGAATCACCATCAGCTTTGGGACAAACTTCATCCTGCATTTCAAGAGAAACAGCAAAAGTGTAAGAATCAAAACAGGTAACAATGCAATAGAAAGACAAATTACAGCTCTGTTTTTGTCCAGATATATGCTGGGCATTTTGTCCAGAAGGATAGTGTGAGATATGGTACTGAAAGAATAGGAAAGTAAGTTCATTAAAGTGGACTTTTCCTTCTTGAATTCTTGTTGGCTGTGACCAGTGACCACGTATCTTTTATGGAACAGTGTTTTCCAGAAGTAGATGATGAATTTCAGTGCTAACTTTTTCTGTTTCATCAACATTCTTCGCCTGCTGTGCCTCTTTGCATTTGAGAAAATATTATATAAGTGTTTTGTTCTATAATATAAGTGTTTTGACTCTGTAAGTCAAAATAAAACATAAATCAATTTCCAGCTTTAACTGAAGGAGTTTCTGAACAGGACACCAATAGCTTCTGCTTGTACTCGCATTTTACTTAAACTTCAACTAACAGAAGATCTTTCAAAAACCACATTGATAAGGAAAGGTTACTAAACTCAGGTTCCATAGGATGGCACATAATCAGGAACTTAGTCATAAATAAAAAGAGTAGGATTCATCTTGCATTGCTAAAATGTCATACCTTGAAGGAAAATGTTTAAAATCTTTTTCTAATGAACGATAGGTACGGTTACAAAGCAAACTTTTATTCTTAAACATTGCTAAAAGCCTTTCATTGCATAAAGTGAGCTGCCAACATAAACAAGTATGCTACTAGTATTTTGTGCAATCATCAGATAAATCGCAATTTGCCTTCTGTGAAATCGTCACTTCAGTTGGAAGGCTGTTTCACTGATCTCAAACTGCTTTATATTTGCCCTAAATATGCCTTGTCACAGCTCAATTTTTATCTAAACAAATAACTAATTCAATATTGCATGACACAGTACTCTTGCTTCCTTGAAGAGCAATTCCTTCAAATAATGTGTATCTAAATTCCTAACTCTATCACGCGTCGTATTTTTCTGTCTTAGGAACTGACCTTAGTTCAACCCATTTTTTTGGTGTTATGATTTCTACAGAAATAAGTTCAACGTATCTGCAAAATAGCACTAACTCTTGTTGGAGAAACCCAAGTTTCTGTCACATCATTTACAACAGCATAAAAGCATAATCATACTTACTGGTTCTAGAATATTGTTTATATTGTTATTAATTCTTACATTCCAAAGCCAATTCTTTACTCCCAAACTGGAAAAAAATTAAAGTAAAAACAAAACTATGTTTTGACAGTGAAAAATATGCCTAAATTCTCACATCTAAAGAAAAAAAAAGTTTTTCCCAGCATTAATTGGTTTAGGTAGTAATTTTTTTCCCTTGTTATTCAAACTCACATTTATCTGGATACTCCAGAAATAGCTTTAATCAATGGAACTCAAATCTTGCTTTTGAAAAGTTAACAGTTATCTAATTAGATAGTTCAGATTTCTGTAATTCTCTCTATTAATTTCCCCAGTGGTTGAATTAAAATATTTTCTCCTTAAAATCTAAGCACAAAATCAACATTTTCTTCTCCTAATTAAAGTATGAGCAATTTGATTTTTCCTAATTTATTCTCTCTGAAAAAGCTAAAATCTGATAAAATATTAATTTATTTCATTGTTTTTTTTTCTCCCCAGACTTTTTAATCAAAATGTTACTCGCCCAGCATCAAGCCAGCAGATGGAGGAAAATAAATCCTCAAAGAAAGTTTTTCAAAGTAGACTGGGACAACAAATCCTCAGGAGAAAACACATGCTTGCAGATTTATATGTGCTAATTCCTTGTCTATAAATCTAGACTTATTGCACAAGAGTACTCAGTGTTTTAACGAGAATTTGAGTCATGATCTTTGAACAGTATAGTAAAAAGTTTATCCATGCTTCATCAGCTAATGACATCAACAGTTCAGAAGAGTGCACATATTAAGGCTTAAATTTATGTATCACCTATTCCACATTAACTTACAATAATAAATTGTACATGACAAGCATAACTATTATTCGATTATTAAAAAAAATCAGACTCAGGACCTTTTTGTCTTTCGCTCTCTTTTATTTTCCCTCTACTAATCCTGCACTTAGTATGCTTCCTGCATTGCTTAAGTGTAATTAAAATAAATTTCTATGTAATAACTAGCATGTGTTAATGTCACGTCCGTTGGTAACTTTGTTCTGCTATGTTGTTACATTTCCAAAATCAATTATTATGAAATTTTGATTCCATCTTCCACAGATATTCAACTTCAGGCATTCAAAGTTTCAGTTTATTGAAATATGGTCTTTATGTTCTATTTCTCTGAATAAACAAGAAATCAGGGTATTTTCCGACTAATTTCAAAGACGTTTTATAATTTCTTTCCCTTCCTCCCCAGAAGTAGAGATTCACTGGGAGAAGAGAAGGGAGACATCTTTCCATAAAATAAGAATTTAAAGGCTTTAGATAACATTAATTTGCAGAAGATAAAAAGAGGTTGCATATTAGATAGAGGAAATATATATATATATATATAAATATTATATATATATTATAATATATTTTATAATTTTAACAATATTTTATAATTATAATATATAAAATATATTATAATATTATATAATATATTATAAAATAATAATATAATATATTAAAATATATAATAATATATAATATATATAATAGAGGAAAATGACCCGTATGCAACAGGATGACAAGATACTTAACAGCTGAAGGATTGTATTTGGAGCATGTTTAGAGGAATCCATATGATAATAAGTTTAACAGCTGTCAAAGCAGATAACCTGCATAAGAAAATGGAAATATGTCTATTTCCATCCCTATTATCAATATAAATACAATCAAACTCAACTTTTATTTGGTACTTATTGAGAAAATTCCAGTAATTTAAGTAATTCTGGGAAGAATTGGAGGAAGCTCTTTAGAACTTCCTGGGAACTATGATGGTCCTACAAGACACCAAGTCTTTTCCTTCACTTTAAACACAGTAAAAGCCTAATTTATACCCATGTTAGTCACACAGTAAAGCACTTCACTGTACTGACAGACAGTTGCATAAGAGGCAATTAAATATTCAGATAAGAGTTCTCAAGTATATTATTACTGAGAAATTATATTTACTTTTAGCAAAATTAGCATACCTAAATAAGTGCTTGGTCAACTAACAAGTATATTATTACTGAGAAATTATATTTACTTTTAGCAAAATTAGCATACCTAAATAAGTGCTTGGTCAACTATTACACCATTCATCCACAGTACAATATGAAGCTAGGCAGAAACACCAAATTCTTTCAAAGGAGTTCAGCTAAGTGTAACTCTATTCTGTTGACAAGTAAACAGGAAAGCAGAGGAAGAAGACTGCAGTATTGTGTGTATATCAACTGATGAACCTAAAATGCACTGCAAAATTTATGTATGGCCCTAGACTTCAGCAAATATTTGTCAGTGAAATGGGTCTACTGGGGCTTTACTAATCACTTGAACATGTCATTGAGAAAAGTGTGAAGAAATGGAAAAATGATTTCCTGTAGATATTTCTTAATAGGCAAGCAATGAAGATTTTATTAGCAACAGATAGAATAGATGGGAAAGGCTGAATAAAGTGACCTAAAAATAAACTAGCACCTCTAATTAGTTCAAGTTGTATGACAGTCAAAGAGAATTAATAGTGAACAATTTACAACATGGGCTCCTATAAATAAATGAACTTGATAAAAACTTGACCTTGGGATAAAACTGAACTATTTTGTTATCTTTACTTAGAAAGAAAACAAACAAACAAACAAAAACAAACAAAGGAAAAAAAAAAAAAAACCCACAGATTTTCCAAAGAGGGTGAAGAAGAAAAGATCTTCTGCAAAGGAAGCAATAGTTATTGAACTATTCATAGTCAACAAGGTTTTTCAGTAATGTAGTATTATATACAGTAATATTAGCAGTACATGCAGGGAATTCTTTCAAATTCAGATTTTCATATATATATATATTTATTTTTAATGGAAAACAATAATTTTCCTTTTTTCTTTTACATTATGCAGATCTATGAATATAGGAATCTAAGAATATCTATATCAAACATTTCTGCAAGAATAAAAGATCTAGCAACTTTTGTAATAGGTAAAGGAAAAAGTTTTCGGTGTTCAGAAGAATAACTGGAAATATTATTGAAATTAATGGGTGCAATGTATGCATGCAAACACAGAGTTTTACTTCTAGTTATAAATTTATCATAGATACCAGATATTCAAAATACAAATCTACATCTACTTAAAAATGAAAGCTGTATAGTAGTCTGCTTTCCTGGTCTTTTTTTTATAGCAGTAGAAGGGGGAATCAATTGCTATGTTAATTTATGTTTGAAAATAGCAAAAACGGAAAGAAGTCTTACTATCCATCCTGATAATTACCACATTTCAGTAAAAATACACTTACACTCTGGGCTGCACTTCAGACCAATAAAATCTTAGCAGACTTCTTAAATAATCAGCTTTTGAATTCAACAGCCATAAAAAAGCTCTTTGGCTTTTTTTTTTTTTTGGCTATGTCAACCTGATTTCACTTTAACTGCAGAAACCAAGGCATGATTAGCAGTTCAAAGTATAATTATTCACACTAAAATAAATCTTGCTGTTGAATACAGCAGTCTTTGACATCAATAATGATAACTGAAGAGGCAAAAGCCATTGAGACAGCTCTGCTGCTACTTCAGTGTTTTAGGTATTAGCCAAAAAAACTGTGCAGTTATGGTTTATTACACACCTTTTTTTTTTTCTCATTTCAAGGTCATTCATTTAAATTCAAATGAGAAAAAGTGAATACAGTGACTGGTCCCAAGTTGGTTTGAGAGCATGTATCAAGTCAGTTAATTATTTGATTAGCAGGGAAGAAATACAAAGCAAAAAAAACCCAAACAGAAATGGAAAATGCTTTCATATAGTAATACATATGAAAACACTTCATAAGTGCAGAGAGTTTGATGATATCAGCTGTAAAATCATTGAAACTATACTAACTGTAAGTGAGAGTCAAAGTGTCAATCATCCCTACTAACTCCAGTGGAGCTCTAAGCATGTTCATGAGGATAGCGAGTTGCCTTATGATAACCAAGAGTTTAATACAGACATCAAAAGACTTGGTTGAATGATATAAACAAACATCCAGTGGAGAAAAAGAAACCATTAACAACAGTGACTGCTGTCCCTTTATTTAACAGAGAGAATGTGACTCACAGAAATCTACATAAATGCAGGTTAAAAGAGGTGGGATGGAGGGAAATAACGACAAGAAGATGGAGAAGATAGAGTGCTGTTAAGGAAAAATTATGAAAGAGAGAGAGAGAAGAGAGAGAAAGTGAGAGAAAGAAGAAGAGTACAAAAAAAAAAAGAAAAAAGCAGAAGGAAAATATTCAATCTAAAAGAAAGATTGAAAATTTGAACTTGACCAGACACAGCAAATTTTGAGTCCAACATTTTAAGCTATATATTAATTGGGAAGACATGTCTGAATTTATTAAACAGGTAACATGAAACTAGCATTTCTTAATTAAAGGAAAACTACGCTTGAAAAAATACTACCAGGAAATTAAAAACAAGTTAAAAAAATAAAAATATAAAACAACTTGCCTGAAAACCGAGGAGTTTTTCACTAGGCTTAATATGTCTCTGAAATTCACATTCCACTGGTTGTATGACTTTGATTCCATCTTCATAAAAAACATAAAACATGTTCCCAATTCCCAGACCTTAGGAATAAAAACACATTGAAATGTACAAAATTAAATAATCACAAAAAATAAAGTCCTGGCATTGAAGTAAAACTCTTATCACATTACTGGCAGAAGATCAGTTTGTTAATATGTATAGTTCTAACACAACCAGTCCCCTGGGATCTTCTTCTGTAAAACTGAAAAATCCCTCTTATGTTATTGAGAATTTTGCATAATTTTCTCCATTGGCAAGAAGGTGTCTTTATGAACACCGAGCTAGAAACACAAGCTATAGTTTTACAGCTGCAGAAATGAAAATTGTCTTGTGAAATCATTTACACTGAAATCAAATTCACCATGTATTTGTATTTTTCCTTTTCTGAGAGAAGAGTTAAAATAATTTCAGTATCACACCGAAACTTAAGTTCTGAATCTTTCTTAAAATTCTTCTTAAAATTCTTAATATTCTTTCACTCAGAAAAGGATTTATTATTATTGTTATTTTTAGCACAAATTCAGTCAAAGTTTGAAGTGCTACAAAGAACTATTTAACCCTACTGCAGTGTTGTGGAATGAGAGGCATGATGTAATCTTTTGTAGAGAAGGCTGAAGGCAGATTATGCACATGACCACAAACAAAAGCTTTCTTCTTAGTTTACCATGTGTTAATTAAGCTGACTGTTGATGATTTGCTATGTGGATTTGATGATAGATGATCAGTTGATATACCGTGAAGAAAAAATTCACTGTACTTAAAAAATTACATTATAATAAACTCTGCCAACTTAAACTGTGCTACAGTGATATAAATGTAGATGTCTATTAGGTGCAAGACCTAAACTTCCTTTTGGCTTAACAATATTTAATATAAGATCACGAGAACAAAACCCAGGAAAAAAACATATTTGATTCTCTGCTTATTCTGAATTCCAAAGGGAAAATTATGTGAACAGGAAAGGAAAATAGTTTCAAATAAAATAATGAGAATGTTAAGGGTGGGAAAAGTTTGTATATACATTCATATATGATACAGGTGTACACATGTGAGTACATATACACAGATTAACAGCCACAGTAGAAATCAGACAGATACTGAAGTCATTTAAAAGTCAAGATGATGCACAAGGCAGTCAGGCTATGCCTAGAAAGAGCAAGTGTGATTACCTTTCAGAAATATTACAGAATCATTCCCATTTCTAGCCAAGTTTTTCTAAAATAGAGGGCCAGTCTCAAAGCAGTTTTCCTAACTTTCCATCAAATACATCTACTAACAGAACAGCAAGAAGCAAGAGAAGGGGTTGTCTATACTGCATTATGTGTAGCACAGAAGCAGGCTCACGTTCAAAGAAAACTTGACCTCGTGGTTTTTTCTTGAGCACAGACAATATCTTGAGAATATTGCAATTGGTGCACTGTACTCAGTTTAGTTTATGAGATACTTCTATATGCCTTTGCAGGTAAAAAATATAATCTAAGTGATAAAACTTGTCAAAATCTTTCTTTAGAAAATGACTGACAGTGTGTCATAAAAGAACAACTAGAATTGTAGATATGTCTGAAGTTAGACTATTTTTCCTAGTAAATAGTCAAGATCAATAGCTTACTGTATCTTTACGATAAACATGTGTAGCTAGTCAGGGACAAAATAAGGTCTTCCCTTCTCTCCTCATTGCCTAAAGGGTGTTACAGGTATTAGCAGAATGTGAGGAGGAAAAGTCCAAAGTGATAGAGATATAATAAACTAGCCTGAAAAATTCTACATCAGTTGCCAGACTACAAGTCAGGCAAAATAACACAACCCAAAGTTTTATGGCTTTATTTTATTTTTATATCCAGTTGACAACATTCACCAAACTCTTATTCAAAGCCAGAGAAGGATACACAAATAAGTAATGTCTTCTCTCCTGAGTTAGGGCAAAAATAAGGAATGTTTACCTGTGGATCCAATGAAATAATCCCCATATTTGTTATGACCCTAAACTTTTTCTTTAAGCTTCTGTCTGCAAATATCTATGTAAATCTCACTTAGACAAATTGCTTCTTTATAACTAAAGGAGCTGCTCCTCTAAAGACATCCGATGCAATTTTGTAGCCCTCCCTTCCTTCCTCCCCAGGAAAACCAAACGCTTTTATATTAGTTTCTGTGCCAGAAGCACAACAATAAGTTTGAGTGTATTTACTATAGTTAGACAAATTTGAATCTACATTTAAAACTAATCTTTTGGAAAAAAAAAAAAAAGAAATAAAAAAAAGAAATTTGTATATGTGTTAATATACTGATATAATTATTCTTGTGTATTATTGTATTACATCCTAATGTATCTTCAAGTTCCTTTCAGATTTTCTCATATACACTATTTTCTGGTTCTGTTCAAGAGAACTCTTTGATGGATACCTGCCAAGTAAGCAGAGGGAACACCACACATTTTAAAAATTTATGATAATTGCATCTGGTTGTTTATCAGTGCAATTGATTGAAATTGAACACATCATCTGCAGTCTGCAAGGCCAACAGAGCAAGAGTGTCATAGCTGAACTCAAGCTGTAATCAGGGAACCCCCTGAAGAACTGGTAAAACAGTACCATATATTTAAAAACCCTTGCTCATGTTTTTAAACACATTGATAAATGCTGAAGTTTAGTACGTAATTATGCAAAAGAAATATCAATATTTGGAATCTTTAAATTAATTTAAAATACATATTTAAGAAACACCTAGAAATATCATTTTTAGCACTAGTTCATAGCAAAGCGTAGTCCACTATTTAGTATTACCAATATTCCACTGAAAATACTTGAAACATTTCCTATTCCTGAAATGCATGAATCCTGAATTGAGACATAAGATGTGGTTGCTTAGAGAAAAGATATGACAATTCATGACAAGGCTTACATTTGATAGTTTTCCATGGCAATACATTTTTCTCAGTGTATGCCAGAAAAGATTTCATATATATATATATACACACAAAAATTAATACCTATTTTTGCTGTCCATGCTTTTAAGACTTGATACTGTCTGTGTATTTGTATTTATCCTTTGCTCTGTCACAAAACAAATCACAAACCTTCATTCTCCTCTTCAATATTCAGAAATCCTTCTTGAGTATATATATATATAAAGAATAACATGCCTTGTCTCATTAAGAAACAGCAGAAGCCTTGATTTTAGCAAAAATATTTAAAATTATGATTTGAAGAAATAAGAATGATTCACAGAAGAAAACCAAGCTCAACAATATATAGTCAGATTTGTTGGAAGATTTATCATATTCACAAACAAAAGCTTACATTTTAAATCTGATTTTTTTGTTGTCACTCTTTGAGCAATTCGCTAAAAACTTTCATCAGTTTATTTTCTCCACCCTCCTCAAAGGGAAAGTCACAAAGGTACACATACATACAAATGATTATTTTCCACCGCATTTTTTTCTTAAGACCAAATTCCCTCAAATATTGCTTAGAAAAAAAAAGGTAATTACTGTAACTGTAGTCTATGAACAACAACAACAAACAACAACAAAAAAACCACACACGAAAAAACACAAGGAACATTAGAAGATCACTTCACTACAATACAGAAAAATATGAAAGAAATATTAGTACCTTGCTCTCGCCACAATATATTTGCAACTGCAGCATGAAAGGGAAACAAAGAGCAGAAAACACAAATGAACAAGAAAAAAAGAAAACAACACAAAATGATAAATCACTTCTGAAATAATTAGGATGCTTTAACCTCTGATTCACTAAAATCTGAAAATCAATGGAAACAGTGGATTAACAGTAGGATGAAACAAAGTTTTCTATGTCTAGCACTAAAGTAAAAAACAAAAAATGATTGAAGTTAAAATGAATCTCATCCCTCCCCATCCTCCCCCGCCACCCAAATTAACTCAATTAGCCTTCAATTGTGTGTTCCATGATTCATTATTAAAACAAAACAAAACCACATAAAACACATGGAATTACACATACGTGTATTAGGCACATTAACTGGAGGTGACACAATTTTGATCATTTCCTTTAAAGCACAACTGAATTTTGAGATTCATTTCAGAACATAGTTATGAGAGAAACATGCAAAGCCAACATGCATATAAAATGTTCTTCTGTACTGCTGTAGCATATCTATGACACTGAAGATGAGTTGGTGTATGATATTTGACTCCAACTATATTCAAAAGAACACAATTTGGGGGGGGGGAGAGGTGAGGAATACAAGCTGGCATGGCAAGTAGTGTTTAATATTCGGTTTCCATGAAAATGTGAGTTGCATTTTATCATCTTGTTTGGTGTTCAGATTTTAGACCTTCGAGATCAATGAAAACTAATTATGCTAATTTACTACTCTAGCTTTTTCTTCCTGAGGAGAAAAAGAAGGATTAAATTGTGAAAATTTTAAATCTTTATAGTTCAGCATAATATGGAACATATTGTTTAAAATGCCACACACGCACACACACACACACACAAACAAAAAGAAGTGTTTTATAATACAGTAGTCTTAAAGAAATAAAGAAAATTTTAAAGGACAGAAATACAGCACAGAGAACACACCACTTAATAGGCAACAAAATCGTGATGTTCATTGAAACACAATGTTGCAAAACTAATTAATGCAAATTAAAAGGAAAAGGTCAGAAAAATTATTGAAAGAGATATTATTAGAAACAATGTTGGTTACTCAAGCCTGAGAATACACACAAGAACCATAATTATTTCTGACAAGCCCCAAATACTGTGGTTTTTCCCAAGCACCTTTTACTGGGCACTATTGAAGTCAGGACTTTATCCTCGACAGGCTTTCTGCCTTTTGCAGTGCAGCATTTCTCTCATTCTCATGCTCTGCCAGAATAGACAGATCATCAATGGATGGAGAGGCCCTTGGAGAAAGTTTCAGTCTACTTTCTTAAAAGCACATGGGTCAAACTCGTGGCTAACAGTCATTAGGCTTTATTTTTTCTCTGACTCTTCTATTTTTACTTGACTGCTGACTTTGTTTCATTAATTGTCTCAACAGAACTACTTCATTATGTGACCTTAGACATGGTATTTAAACTGCGTCACTCAGTTACTTCTCAATATAGTTAAGGTGACGATTACTTGTTAACCTTAGTGTGTTAAGTGTACAAATTAGAGATAATACCATATAAGTAGGAAGCAGCAGTGAAATGAAAAAGTGCTAGAATAAAATTTTTCACATTTCCACCACAGAACTTAAGTACCTTTCTTTCAAAATGCTTAGTCTGCATTCTGTTTATTATCTTTAAAACAGCTTAATTATATGACTTAATAGTGCTAGGTGTACATTATTTTCAAATGTAATTGTTGCCTTGAGTCACTAGGATCCAATAAACTTCCAAAGGCCAGTATGAAAGCAGCATGCCATCTTGTCTCCAATTCAGGCAGAGCAGTACCCCCTTTACATCATAACGTAGAATTTCTGTTGGTTGAATTGCTGCTAGAGTCAAAATGGGACAACATATTTGAAATTTATTTCTCAGTCACCTACTTTTCTACTTGCTCTTCTGATTTCAGGCTGTAGATTTCAAAAGACCATAACTTTGAATAAAGTATTGACTACAAAAGCTGAGTATGCATCCTCTACAAATCCAACTTCTCCAAATGAAATTTCATGGTGACTCTTACTAACAATAGTATGGCTGCCAAATTTAGATCATTCAATGTATTTTGCTCCACGTGTGTTTTGGAACCCCCAATCTTCTTCCCTGTAAGACATTGTCTATATTCAGATGATGGTTCCATTTTTTTTCTTGGAAATCTTATATAAATGTATTGTTGTTGTTGCTCTTTCTGAAATAAAGCAAATTAATTTCCCCAGGGAAAGCAGGAGGATTTTCTATAAAATTAGTTTTCTCTTCACAATATGAGTAAAGAACCATGTAATTACTGTCACTTGATGTCCTATAAGTTTTGCCATTAACATCTACCTTTTATCAGTCTTTTTTTTTCTTTTTTCTTTTTTTTTTTTCTTTCTTTTCTGGAAGTAACATAGGAAAGAAAATAAAACATAATTGCAACTATTCAACTCTGAGGAACTACATGAGATCAAATCAAATGATTTAAGATTTGGAGTACAGAATGTATTCATGTTAATGCAAAATTATATGTATGAGGTTCTGAGCCAGATGAAGAAAAAACAACAGTTAAAGGAGATTAAAAGGGTGGTTAAAAATCCTGGCTCATACATTTTAAAACAAACAAATTAGCCAGAAGAAAAATGAGACGTTTCAGAGTACAATTTAAATTACAAATGCCTACTATCACTTTACCTAATAAAGGTCAAGAAACCTCACTTAGTTTTTAAACTGTGCCTATTACTTATATTCATGACAGATCTCCAGCCTTGAAACAAAGACTGCAATGCTGGTCCAGCCACAACCCCTGTAGATGCTCATTATGTTAAAGAATATATTGTTTTGCTTTCTTTAAGCTTAAACAACAATCAGCATCTTCAACCACATCCTATACTCAATTATCACACATACTTACAAACTTTAAAATTTACATATCCTTAAAATTTACATATCCCTGAAAAACTGTCACAATTTAGGACAGAACACCGCCATCTGCTCTTGTGCCTTATTACCCTGATTTGTTAAAAGAAACATATTCAAACAACAAACAACTATTAAATATTAGCAAGGATACATCTGCAGCCTAGCAGAGGACATTGCATTTGAAGACTTTGAACAGGCCATAGCTTCTGTGTTGGGCCTAGTATTTAAAGCCTTGACAAGGTCATGTGTTAGCACAAGTAGGGGCTGAAACAGAATATGCTGGAGCACCCTATGACACTGGTGAGTGTTATAACAGAGCAGGCTGTCTTCAGTCTCCCAGGAGGAGATATTTGGTTTTGTTTGTGAAGCAAGGTAAAAGCCAACACAGTAAATACATATATACACATATATATGTTTTTTATTCTATCTTATTGATGTGTCTATTTTAATACACCATTCACAGGCCAGTCATATTAGTAATCATATTTTTTACTTTTTTTTAATTACATCTGTATACACTAGCATCACTTGCTTCAGTGGTAACTACCTAAGAAAATGCTCAATGATCTTTTAAATCTATGGTTTTTTGTTGGTTTCTTTTTTTCTTTTTAATTAAAAATTGCCATTCTTTTGTATTTACTTTATGATCTACAGTTAAGCAACTTGGTCTTCATTTCTTTTCTCCCAGTGTTATACATTCTGAAAGCTAAATAAAAACATTTTCATTAATTGTCACTTAAGCAAAATGGGTATCAACTAAACCTTAACAGCTGACGTATTTCCTCGCTTGTCATGATAAATAAGAATGCAGTTCAAAATGGCCTTTGGAATGGGGAAAGACCAGCATTGTATGTCACATATTATTCCAATAAACAGAAGAAAATAAACTCTTTCAAAATATGGATTTCGAGTCATTTACTTTTATTCCACATTTGTTTCATCCAAATACAAGCTTTGCATTAAAATAATGTTACACCTTTAAATGTTTAAAAAAGCAATTTCAAGACGTTTGAAGGGATGTGCTCTGCATACTTCACTTATAGCCAATACTAATGGCACTGACAACTAACCTGCTTAGTATCCTAGATGCATCATAAGAAGAACTAACCTGTTACATTCCCTTTTTCTCATTCCCTTACTTTAACCTGTTGCGTAGTAAAGCCTTGTCTGGCAGCTGAACCACACAAATTTATTACCATCTTCTTTTTTTAAAACAATAGTGCTGAAAGTGAAGATAAGGTTAAGGTGATCCACCTTTTTTTCAGCATCCACTGTCAAGCAGAACGAAAACATTTATGAGTTATCTGCTTTTAATTTTATTCTTATTCTATGTGAAATTCAGATTTGACGGGTTTACAAACAAAAGTGTAAAATGTAAGTTAACACATTTTTTCAGAGTTTTCTACTGACTGCATCAACTTTTATTAACGTGAATATGTCAATACAAATTCTTTGAAATTCTATTCTGTTCTCCTGAACATGCATTTAAATTTCAACTCAGGTTGGGCAAAAATAATAAACAAATATTTTTATGAATACTAAACTCTTATTTGTCAGTTCAAAGTCAAAGATGAACACTTTGCTTTTGGTCAAATGTGAACTTCAGTCTCAGATGAACTTTTGGACATTCAGCTGATTATATATATGTAATTTTAGATTGGGTACTCATATAGGACAAAATATTTATTTGTTTATACATCCCTATTTTAATATACACTCTTATAGGAGAGTAAATCTTTCAATAAATGATATCATATGGATTGGTATGATTAGCAGGAATTTGCTCCTTATCTTCAATGTTAATTTTTCTCTAATATATTTTCTAAAAGAATTCCTTTCTGGTAGCACATTAACTCAATAGAGACTACAATAAAAGGAAGAAAAAATGGCGCATGAGCTGAATTTCTGCCCCATACTTGCAAGCTTGAAATAAAGTCTTTGTCTATGATGCATTCAACAAGTATAAACTTGTTTAGCACTGCCATAAAATAAAATGCCAGCATAAATTATCTCTGAGAAAATTAGGTTAATAGGTATCATTCAGTATAAGATGTGACAGGAAAATTCTATTAAAGTTGCATAAAGCCTTTCAGAGAGAATTTAGGCCAT